GGGACTCCTAAAACCTGAAACCATTATAAATAAAGTCAGAGCTGCATAAATCATAATTGTTTTTCTCCAAAGTTTAAATGTTTTCTTTCAAGATAAATGTTGAACAGCTATAAGCCTTGCTAGGGAAGAATGATAATTTAGAAATTCGGAGAACCTGCTATGAATAATGGGTCTTTTTGTGATTCATTGTGTGAACTTCGTCTATTCTCTTTGACTCTCTGGGACTTAGTTTCCCAACCTGTAGAATAATTCTTCTAAAAAGTCCCCTGAAGTTCTGGAATCCTATGATAAATGAAATGGTCTTGTAATTAGTCCCAAAAAAGTAGCAGATGACCATTTTTGAACTTGGTTAAAAGGCCTAAATCCCCAGAAAAAAATCTGCCATGTCTGTTTCCCAAAGCTATCACCTCACTTGAGGCCCTCGGCATCTCTCCAGGCGATTCTTCAGTTACCTTCTAACTGGCCCATTTCCAGGTGTTTCCTCCTCCCCCAAATGTATCTTCCACATGTATTCTAGACACATGTTGCTTAAATGCAAAACTGATGAGCAGTTTGAAATACTTTCTTGTTATTACACCACGGAAGGTGGACTTCTTGTTTGTTACGGAAAATCCACCTTTCACCAGTCATAAGGATCTGTCTGCAGTTCCTTCCGTCTACTCGTTAAGTTTGTACCCTTGGACTTCTCTCCTCTTGGCGATTCCTGTTGACCCTTCTGGATTCAGCTCACCCTTCCCTAAGAACGCACACGCTCTGTGTTCTGAAAGGTCCTGTGCACAAGTCCGAATGGAGCAGTTGCTGAAATCCGTTGCACAGCCGCTTTGCGTCTTGGATTACCTTCAGGTGTCTCCCGGGCACGGGCTGAACGTTACTGGCCTTTGTACACCCCAACTTTTTAGGGCAGCTTTATTCCCTTAATTTGTTAGTGCTCGATAAGGGTTACAAGAAAGAGGGCGGGCGCAGAAAGAAGAAAATGACTCTTATAGGTACCGTGAATAAGTACAAAACTTACTTGCCTTAATAAGTCACTGCTGACTTTTTTTTTTCATCCTCAGTATCTTACATTATACTTTTGTCAAATCTTGAGGCATACCAATGAAGTATACTTTTGTAAAAAGCCCTGTTTAAAATTTACACAACTCATTAATAGAAACTCTAAGACTGGATCCTTGGACCACTTGTATCTATCTATTTGCACTTAATGATTTCATCCACTTTTCTGCCGTTATGTACTTCTGATTCCCAAATTTATGTCTCAGCCTGATCCTGCCTCCAAAACTAGAGACTTACATCTATCCAATTGCTTTTTCAACATTGCTACTTGGATGAGTAATAACAGTTATAAAAATCCTGCTCCCATAGCTCTCCCTGACTTAACGGCAGCTCTGCCCTTCCAGTTGCTTAAGTCAAAAATCTCTGTATTATCCTTGGCTTTTCTCTCACACCCACATCTAGTCTACTTTAAATAGTGTGTGTTCTGCCTTCTTTTTTTTATATTCTTTTAATGAATAAATAGTTCACAGGGAATGTTGGTTTTAAGGAATATTGTATCATTTAAAACTAATATATAGAAAACCTATTAAATCCGCTAGGATACCCAGTCTATTGATGACATGACTAGGATACCCAGTCCTGTAATATGTGTTCTACTTCGTGCACCAGTTAATTCAATGCCCTTCATCAGTCATAGGCTTAGGTCTGTACAAATGAATCATATGATATTTTTCTTCTTACCTTTAGAATTTATTTGTAGTAAACAGAAGATTTTCAGTTATATCCTAGAGCTGTGACTATGAGCTGTAAGTTCTGTTATTTACCTATATGACTGACTTGTTTGCTGTATTTCCTCACAAGCTTGGCAGATCCAAAAAGCAGGACATTTAAAACAAAACACCTGTACAAGCTCCTGCCACACTGAAAGACTTGAGATGGAGAAACTAGAAAATAAATACAAGCGACTTAATACAGTTCATGTAGGCCACGCCTCTTCTTAGCTGACACCTTCTACAAAGAATGAGCAGTTCGTTTTCCAGGGACTTTTATTTTGTAGCGGGCCCTGGTAACTTTTTTTATTCATGTATCATTGATAGCTAATCTTATGAAGGTTTCACACAAGCAGCACCGTGGTCACAGCACTCACCCGTATCACCAAGCCCCCCTGCACACCCCAATGCCATCACTGTCCATCAGCGTAGCAAGGTGCTCTGGAGTCACTACTTGTCTTCTCTGTGCTAAACTGCCTTCCCTGGGACCCCCCTACATTATGTGTGTCCATCCTAATGCCCTTTAATCCCCTTCTCTGGCTTCTTAATACAGTCAAACTTTGACCCACTCTTCACCACTTCAACTTTGCTGTTCTGACCCAAACTACCACAATTTCTTGCTTGGAGTATCGGAGGGTCTCCTGACCAGTCTCCCCACACACTTACCTTTCCCCCCTATGTGTAGCCTCAGCAAGGCAGCCAGAGTGACTATGTGGTAACTAAAATCGTATTCGTCCCCTGTTCATAATCTTTTAATGGCTTCTGACCCCACTCTGAGACAAAGCCACCGCCTTTAGCAGTGGGCTGCAAGGGCCTGTGATAGTGGCCCTGCTCCCGTCTCATGTGACTCCCTGTCACCCGCCTTCCCACGCTGCTCTGCCGCTGATCTTCTTCCCAGTCTTGGTGCCTTGTCCCTTCCCTTGGCTCAGTGTCCCCTCTGACTCCTTGCGCTGTCAGACTGCTGGGTCTGCTGTCAGCAAGGTGGCCGGAGGCTTTCACATCAATCACTGTTGAATCAGATCCTCGCAGATTTTTAGTAGACAGACATTTAATGTTGTTTGTATTCATTTACAAGCCTCACTACAGGTTGTTGAGGTTAAAAATTTTCTTTCTCATTTGTATAATTTTTCACAATACATTTCTCATAGCCTCAGCACTTGATGTATCTACTAATTTGTTGCAGAGAGTTTGTACACAAAGTTAGTAATGATCTGTTAATCATGAATCGTTGGTAATTGTTTTTCTACCATCTCGAATCCATCTCACAGCACTCTCACCAGTTTACTTTTCCTTTATTTGATGCACAAGATTTTCATGAGAGATGTAGGAATTTTTGTATTATTTCATGCATAAAGAATTTATGAGAGCTGTAAGAGAAAGTAAGTATTGCAGTTTCACTAACGACTTCAAATGAAGACTTGGTCATTTTGTTTTCTTGCTAGGTAGCCATCGAACGAGTGCATCTAAACACTAGTTTGGAAGTTCAGACAAGAGTTTTGATGATAAACTAGTTTGTTCTTTACTTTTCCTATTGATTTTTATATATATCATTATAACTAGGTACCATGTATTTTGTAGGCAGATAATTATTTCATTTTATACAGTGGTGACAATTATTAACATTTATAAGATATCCCATAACTGAAAAAGCCCTTTTAAATATAGTCTTATTTAACCTCTCTGGTTATGTGTGAAGTATGTGGCATTCCCTTGTCATTTTTACAAAAGGGAAATGAAATAAAAGATCAAACATCTCAAGAGTAATTTAGCTCTCAACCTTAGTCTGCTGACTTCACATCCTATATTCTTTCCAAACTGTCACACTCTGTCTCTCAATGAAATAAATGAAGGCATTATTTGAAGAATGGCCAGTGAAGGAATTGAATGAATAATGTGTGCTTTTTCATAATTTAGTGAGATAGTTGAGAGTTCCAGGTTAAGTCTAAGAATCTGTCTCCACATATAAAAAGAAAAGTCAATATCCAGAAAGAAATAAATGAAATTTGGGCCCAAGTAAAATTATTTAAGATTATATCTTCAGTCACAAAAAAGATTTAAGTACACCTAAAACTGAGAATAATAACTCTTGTAAATTTAAATTTTTGACATTGAAGAATACGTGAGGACAACGTGGTTCTTTGAAAAAAATGTTGTCATGAAGGAAATTTAAGCCATAGACTATTTGAGTGTAAGCCATTGATATAGTTGCCTTTTAAATAAATAGAGATTTTAATGGGGAATTTTAGAATTTAAAAGAACTAGGTTAGATTGGATATTTTTATACTGTTAGTCACTAGTTTTCAAGTGTCACATTGAACTTAACACATGTCCTACATCTACTTTCTAGATTAGTAGGTTCAGTGGTGGATAAATAATGCTTGGAATTGTTTGTTAAATGAAGCTGCCATGCCAGAAACTTTGAGAAGCATGAAGCTTCAGTACAAGGAAATAACGATATTTATTATGTTAGAGAAACAGTTCATCTTTTATAATTACTACTAGTTATAATCATTTATTACTAAAGGTAATGCAATGTCAAGTTCAGAAATTTTTCAATGAAATTTTAATATGCTTAAGAAACATGGGAAAATAGTTTCTGTGTTCAAAAGTCAAGACTTAAAGTGCTAAATTTAACCAAATATCTAGTGTATCACCTCAGATTTTTTATTGTAATAGCATTCCTACTTTGAAGAGCAACAGAATTTTGTTCAGAAAAATAAAGTTTAATGTTACTATGCCATTAGATTTTATTCAGTATTCCTTGGTTTAGTTTTTAGCTTTCCTGTGAAGAAGCGTCAGAGTTTGGCTTTCAAATGTTTTTATGTCTTTATGACTATTTTACACATGGAGAATATAATATAGATGGACATTTTGTGGGTACTTTGCAAAGAAACCCTACATGCATATGCAAAATATTCTAACTCGAGCACATATTTTCCCAATTTTCCTAGATTAATGATTGTAGCCCACATGCCATCTTAAGAAAGGTTTGCAAACTCCACAGATTCTACATAAATGTTTGCTAAGTGACTTATAGTAGTCAACGCACTTTACAGTATGTCCTTAATGTCTATATCCTTTTCATTAATGCGATTGGACTCAGGAGTTCAAAGAAAAGAAGAAAAGGAAAAAAACAGAATAAAGACAATTGAGTGTTGAATATGTGTACCTGCCATGCAGGGTCAGAATGCATCTTGAGCCTGTTTTCGTTACCCCGCCTCATGTCGTTCTTTGCAGGAGCGTCGTGGTGCCTGTCAAGAAGCCACCCCCAGGTAGCTTGGCTGTAACCACCGTGGGAGCCACGACGTCTGGGAGTGGTCTGCCAACAGGCAGCACCTCTAATATATTTGCTGCTACCGGAACAACACCAAAAAGTATGATTAATACAACAGGTATTGTCCTTATATATTTTCGTGATACCCCATCTTTTTCTTTCTGTTTCCTATAGCTTCATTTTTCTTCTCATTTGACCTTAAAAACTAAAATACCTGATCACTGAAGATTCTCTGAATCTTTAAGAAGTTTCTAGTCTATGTCACTACCTTTCAGAATTTGTCTGTAGTTCTAAGGTGTGTTTTTTAGCAGCTATTTCAGAGGATACTTGGTTCTTTGAAACAATGTTGTCATTAAGGAAATTCAAGTGTAGACTATTTCAGTATAAGCCAAATTGTTGGCTTTTGTTCTCAAAACAGTACCGTTTACTTCCAGAGTGAAGTAAGCTTTCTGAAAGGTATTTGGGGAGCAAAACCACAAGATAATTTGAACTCTAAAGTCTAATATGTAAAAATGCGTGAATTGTATCAAGAATATCAAGGTGTACTAAAATAGGTAGTGACAGAAAATATATTTAGTTACATTACTGATTGAATCTAATGTATTTCTTTTGCTAAATCCTCTAAGAGAAGGTAGAACTCCCCTAAGAACCTTGATGATACGCAGGAGCCTCAACTTAATAAAAAAGTACATGGAAATAAGAAGCATTGTCTGACATTAAGTTAATTTATATACTAAGATTAAAATTGCAGTCAATTCATTGTCCAACATTTTCCTAATGGTTTAAGGAACAAAAAATTCCAAATCACTACACAATTTTTAAAAGCCTGCCTGAAATAACCTTTTATTTTTGTTAATTTCCAGAAATGTTCCTGTTGATTATTAGTTAAATAAATCCTTACCCAAATCTTTGTGATTTCATTTTAGGTATTTATACAACGCAAGATGATCCCTGACTTTTCTTTCCTGACTATAGTAGCCTTCTCTTCTCCAAACTGTATAGCCTTGAACTTTTCCATCTTTTATCATTCCTTAGATTTTTTTCCCATTTTTATTGATTTCATAGGTCTTCTTTGTGCTTTTTGTATCTATCTTGTTTCTCATACCACCTGAGTCTGATATATCATGAACAGCACATTTATGGGGTTATAGTAAGTAGAAGGTACTCCATCAAGCATATTTATATTAGCACGTAAACATTAATGGCATTGCTTTAAAGAACGTAACATCTTTTTTAACTATAAGTAAATATATCTGGCATCTGAAAAACTTACATGAAGTTCTGTCCAGTTCGCAGTCTTATTCTTTACACTCATTTCGCTATCTAGCAATAGGAATAAAAATGTTTTTCTTTTGCCAAAATATATGCCAGAAAAAAGTGTTAAGGTTTTTAAAATATGCCAACGTAGTAGAAAGAAATCTGCATTTGATATCTATTGAGTGAGTCCATATTTTTAAGAGAGGTAAATGAAAAAAATCACCTTGTATTATCTTTATGTTAAACAAGTTATGATATTTTCTTCTAATTTCTGTTCTATGAATTAATAAGACATAGAAAATGATAGTAGCAAGATGATGTACTGACAGTATAAAGTATATAATACTACATTTTAAAATAAGCTTCCTCCTTAGAAGTGTATACTTAGTACACACATACATGCATACACACACACACACATGTACACACACTCACACATTTTATGGGCCAACATCTGAACTGGACACCTGGTCCAGCTGAAATTTTGGTACATAGGTGCTCTGGTAAGTGTTGTAGTGGAAATCCCCGTAAGCAGCTCAGTTTTACGAGAATTACTGTAAGATATGGTAATATTTAGGAACACTAGATGTCCCTCAACTCCACAGCTATTTAATATACTTACATGGTGTGTTATGGAAACATCTGTTCTAAAATGGCATCTTCGTATTGTTGAGAACTCATTATTTTAAAATCAGGTACAATTATGCTCATTATAGCCCTTAAGAACCATTTATCAAAATAATCGTTTGATGCTGTGGTGCAACTAATTTATGCTTAATGCACTTGAAATTTTATCTTAGATGATAAAAACTAAAAATATTACAACATAGCAACTAACAACATAAATGTTTTGTATCTAAATTGCACTGTTTTGTCAGCCTCATTTTATCTAAAATTATCATTTGTTGATGTCTTTTATTTATACCTCATTTATAACATGTAGTTTTGTTAGATTATGTAAATCAACCAGGTTTTAATGTAACAGCTAGTATTTATAATTATAGTTAGTAGTGTGCTAATGACCAAGTGACTTTTTAATTGTCAAAGTCTGTTTTAAAATTCAGATGAGAAATTCATCAAAATCAGATAGTAATAATGTAATAAAAATCATTTTGTTTAAAAAATTCATGTTTAAAAGCTAAAAATTATTATTTTGGGAACAGGTGCCGTGGATTCAGGGTCGTCCTCTTCCTCCTCTTCTAGTTTTGTCAACGGTGCTACCAGCAAAAATCTGCCAGCTGTGCAGACGGTGGCTCCGATGCCGGAGGATTCGGCTGAAAACATGAGGTACGCGTGACGATTTGTTTTTTACTCATTTTACTCAACCCCACAAGCCAAACTGAGTGAAACGCAGCACAGTGGATACACAGGTGAGGTTAAGAATTCTTACAATGGTTAATTATGTATTTTTTGACTCTCTTTCGTAATTCTGATATTTGATATTTGTACTCTTTTTTCATTAATGTATCTCAAAATCCAAACAGATGTTGAATAATTTTCAAACATTGACTCTGCTGACTTGTTTTTTTTTTT